ACTAACTGCATACCCTGCTTTATGGAAGGTAATAATTGACTCCTCAAGGAAGGATAAACTCTCTAACAGACAATTTCAAATAACATTCTCCCTCCTCCTTCCTTTTGTTATTAAATCCCTAATGACCTCAATAGAAACTAACTGCATACCCTGCTTTATGGAAGGTAATAATTGACTCCTCTAACTGATTAAATACTCGTATCTTTAAATTCAAAACCAAAATGTCTATAAAAAAAAAAGTGGAAATGTGTCCTAATTCGGGGTGTTTTTTATCCCCTTCTCAGGCAAATATCTTAAAACAAAACAACTGTGTATATCATTTGAAAATTTCCAGTTACCGTAGAAGGAATTATGGTAATCAAGCCAGCTAACTATGGTTGATGGATGCTAACACAACACATAATGGATCATCTTTACAATAAGATTAGTAGGTTTGTTGAATATAGTCTTAAGTTGAATGATGAGAACAAAAAACAAAAACTACAGTTTTTAATTTTAAGTTATCTCAAATGTACATCAGATCAAACTAATGAAATGTTTAATGGTTTGTGCCTATGATTACGTGTCTGAATATTAGTAAAACCCTTAATCTTTATTTGAATGTTTTTCTTCCTGTTATTTTATGTTAAGTTTGAACAATATTCTTTGAAGTTTCTTCCAGACCTAGTATGCATTAAATTGACAGATATATATCTCTCTTATCATCCTAACTGTCCATTAATAATAATCTCAAGTTTGTGTTTGTCGATCATATAAAGTATAAGATACTGCCTTTGTTTTTCTTTTTGATGTTCGATGTTCTCGAAGAAGTAAAGTCAAGATGTTTATAATCACTTTCATTGTCAAAATTAAAAGAATACTTTTTATTTTTTAGACATAAGTGTTTTAATAATTCTAGATTTGACAGAAAGTATGAAAAGAAATGTAGATATTGGACTGTTTGAGTCTGTTTTTAATAAACTTTAGTGAGACTAATTTCATTAAAGGCTTCATATTTACATTGTCAGTTTAAATATACAGCATGTGACCAAAAACAAACACTGTTGTCACACTATATTATTATATGTCGTTGGTAAAAATCAAGTTTAATCAGCATTTGTTTTAAACACTAGCAGTACATTTATTGGCATTTTTTTTTTCAAGCAAACTGCAGGATTTTCATTTTCACATTTATTCAGATTCAAAACTTTATACCTACATTTCGCATTTCAATCCTGCTTACAGAGATAACCGAAATTATTCAACTGTCTGGTTTGCATAACAGATACTCTCAATCAAATCTGTGACCTCATCAGGTAAAACAAAATTTCCTACAGTTGGAATGGTGTTGAGTTACTTGGTGGTGGTACCTGAACACCAGATGTTCTAGAAAACTATATTACAGTAAAACCTTGACATTAAATGCACCCTTCCTAAAACTAATGCTGGTTACTATCGAGTGTTACTTTCTTACTTGTTGTGGTTTGTTGGTGTGTAATGACAAAAAGTTATGATATCTAATCTAAAACATCTAAGGTGTGAAAAAAAAACGATATGGCCAAAAAAGTATTCAGCATGCAACTTAAAGAAATGAAATCAAATTTTGTGGCCAAACTGGTAGCTACACTTATAGCATTGATAAGAATTTTACAGCAAATATTCATTCATTATTTAGCTACGCAGCACATTTAGTTTTACCTACCATCATGTCCCAAGTTGAATAAAAAATGCAGCCTGGCTAACTAATGAATGAATATTTACTGTAAAATTCTTATCAATGCTATGAGTGTAGCTACCAGTTTGGCCACCAATTTTGATTTCATTCCTGTAAGTCACATACTCAACCCTTTTTTGGCTTCACCTTTTTTTTCACACCTGACATATTTTTATTAGATTATTTCCCAATGGAATAAACCAATAACATAACTTCCACTCCAACCAGAAAGCCTTTATCATCTGTTCTAGTACAAAAACATAAACAATACTGTATCTACCCCAATCGTGTTGGTGATATTTCTTGACAAAAAAAAACAAAAAAAACGATGCATATTTGAACTTCCAATAAAGAAAGAAAGAAAAGGTTTATAATGGAACCATTTTGCACATTTATGTTTTTCAGTTTGTTTTGGTTTGCAAAGAAACAAGTTCATCCATTCCTAAAACGTATGCTCTTTATCTTACAATCAGGTACTAGTTCCGAGATATACTGGGTATCCAACAAAGTCATCACAGTGTACACAAGTTGAATGTTGTTGTTGTTGCTGCTTATAGTGTAAAGCTACATAAGCTGCACTCAATCCACAACAGGTAATCAAACCCTGGATTCTAGTGTTGTAAGTCAGTATATTAAAATCTTTTGTATATATAGTTTTGTTGTGTAGTGTACACTGGTATAATATTACCAATGAAGTGACTGAGGGGCTGAAACTTTGCAATAAATCACATAATAATAATAGTAAAACATAATTTATTATCTCGTATAGAAACAAGTTATTATTGTAGATTATTATATGTATTCAAAACAGACCATCTGTAAAGTGTTGTTTAAACATAATATGATAATCTTCACAATTTGTTTGAAATGCTTACCTATTTTACAAATTATTATATGTACTGCTACGTATCCTTTCATTGTATACCAAATCTTGTCAGATGTATATCTATAATCTAATTTTAAGCTTCTGAATTCGTAGAACCAACAGGAGCTTCTTCTTGGAAGTGAACTAATGGAGAGTTCTTGGAAACTTTGTCTCCCGCTTTGAATAGTACTTTCTCAACTATACCATCTTTTGGGGCTTTGACGACATACTGTTGAAAAAGGTGAACAGAGTCAATAACAATTTTTAGATAAAAGGATCACAACTATCATATTTTATTAAGAGTTCTTAAGAGCTCTGATTTATCCTCCTTTTATGAAGCTCTTGATGAATGTTAAAAAAATTATTTTTTAAACTAAAATTTTTTCTATCCAAATATCAATGACCGAAATGCTATTTATTCTAACCTCCATCTTCATAGCTATGATCACCACCAGAGGATCACCATGTTGGACCGTATCACCATCATTCACGTAAACTTTTTCTATAACTCCTGGCATTGGTGACACAGCATCTTGAGTACCTCCTCCAACTGTTCCGACTTTAAGGTACTTTGGAGTTGGAATGCTGACTTGGTAAAATCCTTCCTGTAAAACCATCAAGAGGAAAATAACCAAAACATGTAGATATATTCAGGAAAGTAGAGACATGGTACAGTTTGTTTGAGAACCTAACTGATCTTAGTTCTCTTGATTTCGACAATACTGTGTAACGTGGCTTCACCAGAAGTTTTATTATTGATTCTTATTTCATTGAAATCGTTGATGTAAATGGAGCCAACTGGAAGAAATGTCGGATGACCACATTATCACACACCTGAAAGAGTAAGGGACCGCGATCATAACACATCCACATTTTCTGAAACTCATCCCCCCCCTCCAGGTCAAGAAGCTTTTAAGATATAAAAGGTTTATAAACAAACGTGTATTTTTACACTGCATCTGGAGTCTCCATTATTGGGTAAGGTTTGTTTAGTTATGAAATTAAGTTTAGTTGTGTATTTTTACACTGCATCTGGAGTCTCCATTATTGGGTAAGGTTTGTTTAGTTATGAAATTAAGTTTAGTTGTGTATTTTTACACTGCATCTGGAGTCTCCATTATTGGGTAAGGTTTGTTTAGTTATGAAATTAAGTTTAGTTGTGTATT